CTTCGCGGCGGTGGCCGGCGGCGAGGGGCGGCGCGGAGGAGGCGGCGGGACCGGCGAACGGCGACGGGGAGGAGAGAGGCCGCGGGCGGCGGCGGATCTGGCCCGGTGGCGGCGCGGGTGGGCCTCCCGCGGGCTCGCCGGGCCGCGCGGGGGAGGAGGCCGGCGGGGACACGTGTCGGGCCCTGGATGGTCGGCGGTGGCGGCGGACGTTGTCTGGCTCCGCCCGGACACGCCCGTCGGCGGCGGATCTCTTTTTTTTTGGACTAGGGTTTGGACGGGGAAGAGGATGAATCCGAAAATTGGAGGGGGTATAAATAGGCATAGAGGGAGCTAGGAGGGTCCAAATGAGGTGCGGTTTTCGGCCACGCAATCGTGATCGAACGACCGAGACGATGGAGCAGAGTTTGGTGGGTTTTGGGCCAAATTGGAGGGGTGTTGGGCTGGAACACACACGAGGCCTTTTCAGTCCCTCGGTTAACCGTTGGAGTATCAAACGAAGTCCAAATGACCCGAAACTTGACAGGCGGTCTACCGGTAGTAAACCAAGGCCACATGGCAAGTCTCGGTCCAATCCGGAAATGTTTAATCCCCACACACGAAAGAAAGCTAGAAATGGCCACCGGAGGAGAACGAAGCGCCAGAATGCAAAACGGACAACGGGGAAAATGCTTGAATGCATGAGATGAACATGTATGCAAATGCAATGCACGTGATGACATGATATGAGATGCATGAAAACGAAAACAACACACGGAAACAAAGACCCGAACCCGAGGAATAAATATAACTTAATGCCGGAAACAGCAAGAGTTGGAGTACAAATTGAGAAAGTTATATCTGGGGCGTTACACCCCCTTCAAAAAAAACAAAAACTCTGGTCACAGAAATTCTGACGCGTGGATGCCTATTGGTCCCGGTTAGTGCCACCAACCGGGACCAAAGGCCCTCCTGCCTGGGCTCCGCGCACAGGCCACGTGGATGCCCATCTATCCCGGTTCTGGATTGAACCGGGACTAAAAGAACAGGGCATTAGTACCGACCCTTTAGTCCCGGTTCAGGAACCGGGACAAAAGGCCCTTACGAACCGGGACAATAGGCCCTTTTTCTACTAGTGCAAGGCGACGAATCGAAGGGAGATGGATGGTAGAAGCAAAGGAAGGTTGGGGATGCGGGGTGGATATTATTGATGGGGGTGGGGGAGAGGCGGGGGCGGAGAAGCCGAAAGATTTGTTGTTTCCGGATATCACAAAGGAGGGGACAGGGGCCGCATCCACCGCGTCATGCTGCTGGGCCGCGGAGGAAATGTGGCGGACGATGGGGATGGAGCGCCGCCGCCGCCACAAGGAGAAGCCAAATTAAAGCGCAGGAAGGGGATGGGTCTGACCAGGGGTTGTGATTGGATGCTGACATGTCTATGTTGCATGTTGAGATAAATCAAGTAATGGGGGTAAACTTCTTAAGTATATAGGATATGAATCTTCATAGATACTTTTTTCTTGTTTCAAAAGAGAATGTTATTTTGTTCAGTGAACAACTGTAGTCTCATGGTGCGAACTGTAGTCTTGTGGTGAAACCAACTTATGAGGGTTTATAGTTCTACTAGACTTGATATTGGTGGTCGCATTTTTCGCAATTTATTTCAGATCTTTCGCGCGATGTGCATTTAGTGGTAGACGTTTTCGTCGACAACAAATGCGTCAGCGGCGACTTCCTCGGTCTCAAATGTTGTGCCGGCTCAGTATCTCGGAGGTGCTTATAAAGGCAAGGTGTGCCGTCTATAGGATCGAGTGTATGTGTGTGTGAATATCTGGGCTTGTATTGTGTTTGAAAAAAACACTATAGTCTCATGGTAAAACCACTACCAGTATATGGGCCCATCCATTTCGCGTCCTGGGCTTCAATCTCGCTTTCAGGATCGATCCACTTCACTCTCACTCACACACATCGTGGCCTTCGACCAGAGTCAGACTCCAGTCCACACCATTTCCATTCCCCTTCCCCGCATGAGGCGTCAGGAGATTGAGATGACGGGCCGTCGACGCCGGCGCCGCCGCCGCCGTCGCTGGAAGAGGAAGATCTGCTCAAGATCCTCCTCCGCCTCTCTCCGCTGCCGTCCTCCCTCCCCCGTGCCTCCGCCGTCTGCACGCGCTGGCGCCGCCTCATCTCCGACCCCGACTTCTTCCGCCGCTTCCGCCTCCACCACCGCCCCAACCCTCCCCTCGTCGGTTTCTTCGTCGCGGACGAGGTCCGCCGCCTCCTCGGCTTCGGGTCGCTTATGGGCGCCCCCAATCGCTTCCCCACCAAGCGCTTCAACATGAAGGGGAGGGAAGGCAGCCAGATGCTCAGCTGCCGCCATGGCCTCGTACTCATCTTCCTCGGCGTGGAGTACCAGTTCCTGGTGTGGGACCCCGTCACCGGCGTCCGCCACTTCATCGACCCCCCTCCAGGCTCCAGCACGGGCTCTGTCTGCACGGGTCAACGGAGCGGTGCTTCGAGATGCGAGAGTCGACGACGACTTCAAGGTTGTCCTGGTGGCCGTTGAGGGTTCACGAGCAATCGCCTGCGTCTACTCGTCCAAGACCCGTGATTGGGGTAATCTCGTCTCAACCATGCTTCCACCCAAGGGTTTTATGGGCAGCCCTCCTGCCATGAATTTTTCGAAGATGCACTCTCTGCTTGTTGGGGATTCCCTTTACTGGCTTCTCTCTGACAGGCCGACGAGCCTAACTGAGGCCTTCAGCCACGCTCCTTGTCCAAGCAGTATCCTTGAGTTTGATGTGGAGAGGCAGAGCCTAACCGTGGGACGTGTGTCAGGAGACCTGAACTACACCAAAGACCATGAGATCTCTCTTATAACTGAAAAGGGTGGTGGACTTGGTTTACTCACGTTGTCAGGCTGCAATGCACACTTCTGGAGAAGAAACAGTGAGCATGATGGTGATTCTTCATGGGTGCTTGGAAGAACTATCGAACTAGACAATCTTCTCTCCTTGAATCCACAGAAGGAGGCGGGGCGCATATTCATAGAAGGGTTTGCTGAGTATAATCATGTGGCGGTCTTGTCTACTCCTTCCTCCCTCTACACGGTCCAGTTTCAGCCATTGGAGGTCAAGAAACTTCACAATGTAGGTTCTCAATATCATGCATTCGAAAGTGTCTGCACTGCAGGTAAGAGTAATTTTTCACTCGGCATTGTTATCTATGCTGATCATGCTAATTATCTTGAATCCATAATGTCAAATTTGTTGGAAATTTACAAGTACCAAGTCCATATGTAGTTATGTACCAGGGAAAACTTATAAATTAAGTCCTTTTCATCATTAATGCTGAATATATTTAAACATAATGTAAATCTGAGTAGCTAGGACTTAGGATCACTTTTTTGCTAGGATTAGTCTGATTATATTTTTTCCTGATATGACATGGAACAAGCTTAATAATTCTGGATAACTTGTCTCTTTGACCAGCTAAATAGTCTGAGTGCTTATTTTTCATTTTTATGATATTCATCAGTATATATTTCTGTTGGACTATCCTTTAATTTTGAAGGTAATTGTGGTTTATCTATCCCTAGTGCTGTATCAAAACGGGAACTATGAGCTTTTGTAAATATCTCATAGATGCCTCCTCGTTTCTATTTAGCTTTTTGTTGGTATGTCATTTTGGTTGTTTGACTTCTGATGCTTGCAAAAACAGGTAATGGCGGGCGGCCTGATGCAGCTGATGTTGCACAAAACGCTTAAGAGGATTGTCTGTTAGATATATGATGCACTGGTTGAGCAGGTAAGCTTGTATTCGGCATGTATGTTGAGGTATTAGATATGTTTCCTCAAGATATGTACTGCTATCTTTTTACTGCCATTTCTCAAGTACCAAATTTCTTAGCTGTTGCCCACATAAGCACGTCTTATGCTCTGATGGTAGAGGCTGCATCTTGAATCTTTTCTGTAGACCCTGCTTCCTCATCCCTTCGCCAGCACCTCTCTGTTATCTTCCTCATGCATTAACCCAACCGCCATCTCTTTATTTGCCGATGTTTTACCGCTCCCTCTCTCTACTGGATGTGCTTTTTCTGCTTGGCTTCTCGTTCCAGGTGCCTTGCTTTCGGTTTACCTCCTCCTCAGTACTCCCCCCAGTTCCTTCTGTTAGTGTGGGTTCTTCTCCCTATCGCTCCTCCAATGACTCGTGGTTTGGTTAAGTAGGAGCCTTCCCATTTCTCTATTTGTGCATGTACTCGTGCCTGCTCAGAGATGAGAGTGCCATCATGCTAAGTGATAGCAAATGAACTGCTTACACTTTACTGCACTTGGATGGCATATTTCTGTTTAACATTTACTCGTTACTACGTTGCCTTAAACTTTATTATGTGGTTAAGACTCTATAAAGTCATACTGTAACTTGCATGTTGGTCCCGTGACTCCCGTCTATGCAAGTAATTGATCATAATAATTGCTGACCATTTGGTTTCAGACTTTATTTTATGGTCTTATTGTAGCTATGACATTTCACATTGCTTCTTATGTCGGATTATTGTGATACCTAGTGAACTAATGATTGTCAGTTTGTCACAATAGTTGTAGAGTACTCCTTCATTGAATCTTGTAATGTTGTCTATCGTTTTGCTTGCAGTTATTGTAGTTTATGGACAATCATTCTAGTGTTAAGCTGTTTGGTTAAACATTTTCCAGGATGTCACTTGTTGTCCACTAAATTTGCATCATGCACATATAGATATAATTGACCATTAGCTACACATCATTCCACTGGTCCAAAGTCCAATCTGTCTGTAGCTATGCTTTGTGTGCAGTCTAGTTTCTTCAATTTTTGCCACCTGGACCTCTATAGTTTATATCGAAATCAAAATCGCATCTTAGAAACTGCTTTCATCACTAATAACATTCTGCTTGTTTTATCTACTGATGTTATACGCCCTATGCCCCTATCCATTGGATGTGCACTTTTGTTTGCCCTTGTTTGCATCCAGTGTCTTTCCTTTTGTTTTACCTCCTCCTTAGTCTGTAGTACTCCACAAGTTTCTTCTGGTGGCGTGAACTCTTCTCCCTCCAGCCCTTCAATGACCAATGCATATGTTCGTGCTTCAGGGATATATTTCCATTTTACTTGTACAGTTTTACTCATTGTTGCATCACCTTTAATTTTTTTAGTGTGGCTATAGCTCTATCAAGTCCTAGTGTGATTTGCATGATGTCCCGTCTAAACAAGTAATTGAGAACTAACAATACCTGAGCATTTATTTTCAAATTTCCTTTATTTATACGGAACTATAGAATTGTCATTTCACATTCCTCCTCATACCTAGTGAACTGACAATTGTCACAATACATGAAGAGTTCCTTTTTAAAATCTCTGGTTGAATCTTATACCTCTATATATCGTTTTCCTTGCAGTTGTTGTAGTTTTATGGATGATCATTCCAGTTCTAGGCTGTTTGGTCAATCATTTTCTCAGCTTGTTTTGTTGTCCACCAAACTTGCTTATATATGACTGATCATTAGCCACTAACATAATTTAGCTTGTACAAACTTTATGCAGCTATGCTTTGTGTCCATCCGGAATTACTTGTCGCAGAAATTGATTTATCTAGACGTATTTTAAGTTCTAGATACATCCATTTCTATCCATTTGTGCGAAAAGTAATTTGGGACAGAGGGATTGCATCTCATATTTGAAGTTGAAAGGGTACTAACCACAATACAAACTACCTATCGTTGTTCTCTGTTTGAGATGTTGATTCTGTCTGATAATGTTCTTTGGAGCTTTTGGCACGATTTCCACCATTGTGAAGCTAATGATTACTGTTTGAGTCATACAAAAGTCACGAGAATACCTCCAGCAGCTTTCCCTGAGTGAAAGCTTCAAAGTTCCTTTGACTGATGATGTTATTACTTGCTCCGCAGGTTTCGCTTTGGTCGCTGGAGATGAAGAAACGGGCTGCTGATGACCATGCTACTAATTTCCTGTTGTCGTTCTCTGCTGATAAACATTCTGGCATAAAGGTTGAAGGCACAGTGTCTTGCTTCCGTAAATGAGTACTTACAATGCGCTGGGATCGCTTGTCAATTGATCTTGTTTGCAATTTAGTGCGAGCGCATCTGCTGGCGGGTTTGATTACCTTCCATGTTGTGTCAAGCATGGAGTTTCTGATGTTATATTTCTGCATATCTGTGCTTATGCTGAGATTTTGACAAATATCAAATGGCACAAGTAGTCCTGCCTGCTGTTATTTGCAACTGCTTAAATAGCTTCTGATTCAACCAGGCCCGGGTTTCATTGCAATTTTGTTTTCTTTGGGATGCTGGGAACGCCTTTTCCCCGACAAGAACAAAATAAAGATGCTGGTAATGGCTGGATGAGCTAGCTAACGTGTGGTTTGGAAGCTCAAATGAAACACAAAGCAAGCAGTGCCTTGCAAATTCCTTTTTGTGACTCCACGCTGGATGCCCTCTCGTGAACGCTCTCGCGACGGGGGAGCGTGCCGGGGGGCGCTGCCTGAAGCCTGATCTCCTCATTTCGGCCACCCTTGCATCCACCACGGCGTCCTCTCTTGTCTTAACCCGGGGCTCTGCTCCCTTGTGCTCCCGGCCATTCGTGTGCACCATGGCTCCTCACCCTAGCTCACGATGATGGCCTCTCCGTCCACAATGCTCATTACCGCACCTCTACTTTCGGATGATGACGCTTGTCCCCTCCTCCTCCGCATGTTGGGGTCGCCCTTGGTTTGCTAGGGCTGATTTGGAGCTCATCTCCTCGCGCCCTTCGTCGCCTCTGGCGGGTCGCTCCACGCCGGCAATTGCGGCGAAGTTGAACTTGTGCCTTTGCAAGGCCTCCTCCAGTGACGGAGTCCATCCCCGCTCCCGTTGCTTACGCCTCCGTTGACTAGCGTTCCTCGCCTGGGGGTCCCTGCACTCGGCCGGTTGCCGTGGCTCCAAGTCCATTGACTCCGGTGGGGTGTGCATGCGCAGCACGAGGTGGGCACAGGAGGGGGTGGCAGGAGGTGCTGCCACGGCGTGACCAGCGCCGTCTGATGTCGCCAACCCCGGAATTTGCCCCCATCCCATGGCCGCTTGGCTTCATGGCAGATGTTGTCGATGCTTCGCCCCTAGACACCGTGCGGTGGATTGCAGAGATCCCTTCTGATGCTCTCGTTGCTTGAAGAATGACCATTAAGCGCGCGAGTGCCATAACCCTTGGCGTTCACTCAACTCCCTGGCATGTCTCGTCATGCCGCCCACCTCCCGCATTGGCATCCAACATCTTCAAGCTCCTGCACCGAGTGAGGGTCCGATGAAATCCGTGTAAATTGGGTTGGAAGCGTTGAACCCTTTGTCTCGGGCCGCATGTTTATATATAGTGGCAATGCCTTGGAGTACAAGATAGAGATCAGGAGATTGATCTCAAGTTAGTTCGGTATAGGAGGTTAACGAGGAGAGGAAAACAAGATAGAGATAGATTACAATTTGAATGAAACTATCCTATTCTAACACTCCCCCTCAATCTAAACCTCATGATCATCGACCAAGGTTGAGATTGTACTTGAACTCGTCTAACCTCCTCATAGTGAGAGGCTCTGTGAATCCATCAGCGAGTTGATCTCCAGTAGGAATGAATTGAATTTCGAGAAGCTTCCTTGCTACTCTTTCTCTGACAAAGTGGAAATCAACTTCAATATGCTTTGTGCGTGCATGAAAAACAGGATTGGCTGACAGATATGTTGCACCAATATTATCATACCATAATCTGGCTGCTTTTGGAGTCTTAATTCCATGTTCATAAAGCAGTGTTTGTATCCACATTACTTCAGCTGTGGCATTTGCCAAAGCTTTGTATTCAGCCTCAGTACTTGATCTAGAGACTGTAGCCTGCTTTCTTGCACTCCATGACACAAAATTGGATCCCAGAAATACAGCAAACCCACCAGTTGACCTTCTATCATCAATACATCCTGCCCAGTCTGCATCAGAGTAGGCAGTAACAAGCATAGAAGAAGACTTGGTAATTTGAAGTCCAAGTCCCGCTGAAAACTTAAGGTACCTCAAAATTCTTTTAACTGCAGTCCAATGAGTAGTACTAGGAGCATGTAAGTACTGACATACCTTGTTGACAGCATAAGAAATGTCAGGGCGTGTAAGTGTCAAATATTGCAATGCACCCACAACACTCCTGTAATTTGTTGCATCCTCTGACCCAAGTGGCTCTCCACTTTCAACAGAAAGTTTTTCGGAAGTTGAGACAGGTGTACTCACAGGTTTACATTTTTCCAAGCCTACTCTCCTGAGTATATCAGCTGTGTATTTCTCCTGTGTCAGAAGTATACCATCTCTTATCTGCTTGACCTCAATACCAAGAAAATAATAAAGATCTCCCAAGTCCTTGAGAGCAAATTCCAACTTGAGATCTTTAAGAAAACAAGTGGTGGCACTTGAACTTGAGCTAGCAACAATAATATCATCAACATAGACTAGCACAAAAATTGTGACATTTCCTTTATTGTAAAAGAACAAGGATGTATCTGCCTTGGATGGTACAAACCCAAGTTGTTGTAGTTGCATGCTCAATCGTGAATACCAAGCTCTTGGTGCCTGTTTTAAGCCATACAGAGCTTTATCCAATTTACAAACATAGTGTGGTGTACCTTTGTTTTCATAACCTGGTGGCTGCCGCATGAACACCTCTTTCTAAAGAACACCATGAAGAAACGCGTTCTGGACATCTAGCTGTCTTA